TTTACCAGCCAGCCTCCGCGGTAACATCCAAGCATACAATCGGAACATTTCGTATTATTTCAGTGTTTTTGTGATTTTATCTCAAAATAAGTGCCATGGGCCCCAAGAAAGCTTTCTAGTGCCAACCCTAAAAGCAATAACGGGTGAGAATTACTATTGAATGATGAAAAAGATCATTGCTAAGTATGAAAGTGGAAATGCGTGTCTCGCGAGCTGGCCAGGTTGTAATAAACCCCAATTAACCATCGTACTATTGGTGGTAACATGCTGTGCTGCTGTACCACTGCCAGCTGTACTGCCTGCTGCTGCCTGTCAGCTTGTGCTGCTGCTTGTAGCACGTCAGCTGCTGCTGCTGTTGTACCACCGTTCTTGCTGCTGCCCGAATAATAACCGTCTTGCTGCTGCTGTAGTAACTGTCTGCTGCTGCCTGCTAGTACCTGAAATCTGCTGCTGTAGCACTGTTTAGCTCTGCGACTTGCTACCAACCATCAGCTGCTGCTGTATTACCGTTCTGCCTGTCTGTAGTCACTGTCAGCTGCTGCTGCTGTGTTAACTGTCAGCTTGTACTTGTAGTACCGTCTGCTGCTGCTGTAGCATCGTCTGCTGCTGCTGTAGCACTTCAGCTGCTGCTGCTGCTGTAGCACTGTCAGCTGCTGCTGTTGACTGTCTGTAGCCACCGTTGTTGGTGTGGCTTATTGAGAATACCAAAAACAATTAACCCCAGGATTGCACCCAGATAACCCAAAAAGTTCAGTTGTCACTGAAGACTGTCTACTTATTTCCATTGGGGTCCTTAATCTTGTCTCCCCAGGATGCAACCCACACCAGTAGACTTAACACCCAGGTGAACAGGGCCAAAACATGCCTGGAACCTAGTTGCTCATATTGGTGAATTTAAGCCAGCAAAGGTTGGTTTGAGAGATTTAAGAATCGTTAGTGGCATACAACGTGTGATAAGGCCCCGTTCTGGAAGAAAATGCCAAACAGGACCTACAGCTCAGGAGAAAAGGCACTCCCAGGACATCGTGTCTCATCAGTCATTGCTGCATCTTCAATAAAGGTAAGTGTCATTTATTCTCATTTAGATAATACATGACAAATATATTGTGCATGTACTACTCTACTATTGTGCATGTATCCTTCTCTTTGTGTGTAGGAAAATGTATATTCATGTGGTTAAAACTTTTTTATTCATATCTTTTGGGGGTCTTGCACGGATTAATTTGATTTCCATTATTTCTTATGGGGAAATTCATTCGCATACCGATCTTTCGCATAAAATGAGCCCTCTTGCACGGATTAAAGTCACTATGCGGGGTCCATAGATAAATTAACATAAATATGAGATGTGGTAGCCGGGGACTTGTAGGGAACAGCAAGATATAACGATTCTTCACCTTAGTTTCAAATTTAGAATAACGTTAGACTGCAATATTACAGGGTAATACTAGAAATTATTACTTTCTTGCCTTCACTCAGAATGTCATTTCTTCTCAAATTTGTGTTATGAGATAGGAGTGTTGCTCTTTATTTATTCTTACTGCATCAACATGGAGACACTTGTACACAATGTAAGGGTTTGTATTTGGTTTTAATATTCACAGACATGGCATGAACGTGTTCAACCAACAGTAACAATTTGTTTGCTTACATTTGTGTGGGTTGGGTATGGTGAGGGCTTGCCCTAGCTGCTGCATACTTCCCACACCTTACTTCCTCAAACAAACACGACTTACCTCTCACCCTACTTAAGACTACAATATTTTAAGTAATGAATGTATTGTGTATGTATTTTAAATGCTCTGGGGCACTTTAAATGTCATATATATGTGTGGGGGGGGGGGTTGGGTGGGGTGGGCTGCCCTGGCTGGCTACCCTACTTCCATACTGACTTCTACAAAAAAATATGACTCACTTAACACTACTTTTTTTAAACCTACCCCATACCTCTTCGACCCCATTGCCTATGCTCTCATTAGCCCATCTATCCTCCAATAGCTGTTTATATCTTACCCTAACTGCCTCCTCTTTTAGTTTATAAACCTTCACTCTCTCTTCCCTGATGCTTCTATTCTCCTTGTATCCCATCTACCTTTTACTCTCAGTGTAGCTACAACTAGAAAGTGATCTGATATATCTGTGGCCCCTCTATAAACATGTACATCCTGAAGTCTACTCAACAGTCTTTTATCTACCAATACATAATCCAACAAACTACTGTCATTTCGCCCTACATCATATCGTGTATACTTATTTATCCTCTTTTTCTTAAATATGTATTACCTATAACTAAACCCCTTTCTATACAAAGTTCAATCAAAGGGCTCCCATTATCATTTACACCTGGCACCCCAAACTTACCTACCACACCCTCTCTAAAAGTTTCTCCTACTTTAGCATTCAAGTCCCCTACCACAATTACTCTCTCACTTGGTTCAAAGGCTCCTATACATTCACTTAACATCTCCAAAATCTCTCTCTCTCCTCTGCATTCCTCTCTTCTCCAGGTGCATACACGCTTATTATGACCCACTTCTCGCATCCAACCTTTACTTTAGTCCACATAATTCTTGAATTTACACATTCATATTCTCTTTTCTCCTTCCATAACTGATCATTTAACATTACTGCTACCCCTTCCTTTGCTCTAACTCTCTCAGATACTCCAGATTTAATCCCATTTATTTCCCCCACTGAAACTCTCCTACCCCTTCAGCTTTGTTTCGCTTAGGGCCAGGACATCCAACTTCTTTTCATTCATAACATCAGCAATCATCTGTTTCTTGTCATCCGCACTACATCCACGCACATTTAAGCAACCCAGTTTTATAAAGTTTTTCTTCTTCTCTTTTTTAGTAATTGTATACAGGAGAAGGGGTTACTAGCCCATTGCTCCCGGCATTTTAGTCGCCTCATACGACACGCATGGCTTACGGAGGAAAGATTCTTTTCCACTTCCCCATGGACAATAGAAGAAATAAAAAAGAACAAGAGCTATTTAGAAAAAGGAGAAAAACCTAGATGTATGTATATATATATATGCATGTGCGTGTCTGTGAAGTGTGACCAAAGTGTAAGTAGGAGTAGCAAGATATCCCTGTTATCTTAGCGTGTTTATGAGACAGTGGTATTTATAAGTGGAAAAAATGGTGTTCCACTTTAAGGCAGTAGCCTGGAACCTAACCTGCTGTATACAGTGCTAGTAAATAACAAAAAGGCACAATACCGTGACTGGAACGATACACAAATAACCCGCACATATTTTATTTCACAACTTCCCCTTTCACGCACCTCGGTGCGCTTGCTCTCCCTCTGTGGGTTTCTAGCTCTCTTGCAGTGCTCCCCTTCCTTTGTATTTGACTGGCTCGTCTTCCTTATTTCCCACTTCTACCACTACCACTACTACTACCTCTTCTTCTTCTACTACTCTACGATAAAAAAAATTTTAGACACAGGGCGGCGTCTGGTTGTCTTTTTTGTGGATTTTTTCGCCATCCATGGCGGCTGGATGGCGAAACTTTTCACGGGGGGGGATGCCCGGGTGTTGTGCATTTCTTTTTCACCCTGTGGGTTTTATAAAAATTTTTGTACTACTATACTACATCTAAACCACTACCACTACTACACCTCCACCTTCTCCCCTATAATCCCGTCCTGCCCTCCTTTTTAGGTGACTTTGCAATGGCCCCAAGTGGGACCGAAACGTCGGAAATCTTCTTTCCTTTTATGTGGGGGTTATTTGTGTACAGTGCTAGTCAGGCTTTGCAGGTGAGCACCCTGGCAAAATTGCTGGATAAAAATCGAAGGGCCTACCATACGGGGGCTTTTTTCATTGTGCATTTCCCGGGGAAAATTTTTTTTCCAAAAAATTTTGAAAAAGCATGTTTGAATTTTTTAAATGTGGGTTTCCTTTTGAAAAAAATTATTTCTAATATTTTTTTTTTGAAATATCACGGGGGGGCCTTGCAGTCCTTAGCCCCGGGCCTACAAAATCTTTAAATTTGGGTCTGGGTTTTTTGAGATCTTGAACATGGCAGTGGCCCCTTTTTTTAAAGTACGATGTGCTATACGCACCTCATTACCACTTTCTTACTTCAACACCTAAGAAATGGGTATGACCCCATAATTAGGCTTTGTTTTAAAAATAAAAAAACCTAAAAAATAGTATCTTAAAGCAAGTTTTCTGATTGCAAAAGGGAAAGAAAAATTTTATATTTCTTATCAACTTAAAACACTTTGTAACTTTTAAGCTTGGAAAGTACATGTAAAACTTGAAACGCAAGTCCCCCATCCCCAAATAGTGCTGGGGGTAAAGTATTCATGAAAACCAAAAAGAGACTTCATCTATACATTCCAAAAAATACTTATGGTTTCTCTCACAGCTGCAACAAGTAACTGTGATTCCCACAGTGCGCTTTTAAACGTTATAAAAAAATGTATTTCTAAAATTGCTTTGTACACTACTTTAATACTGCTAAAAGAAGAAAAGATAAAAAAGCCCAAACAATTTCCCGGCAGTACTGAGACTATAAAAAAACAAATTAAAGATTCTTTGTGCAACCTGCAGATACAAAAAGAATATATATAAAGTTGTGGAATCGGTGAACCGATTCTATAAGGATTGTAGAACACAAGGTGTCATCACATCACATTAGTTCAGAAACTGCTGATAATTACTGCAAAATTATAAGACTTGCCCTTATAAACCCCGCTGCATCTTATGATGTGCAAGACTATCAGCATAGTAGAACACAAGCTGTCATCACATCACATTTATCCACAAATTGCTGACACTTGCAGCAAAATTGACTCACCCTTAGTAATCCCACTGCATCTTATGAAGTGCAGGAAGATTATTAGCACTTGTGTGCAAGTTGAGAGAATATTTGTAATCTACAAATATCCACTGCTACAAAAAAAAAAAAAAAACTCTGATCTATACAGAATAAATAATGGGTTTCACTCGCACAACATAAGGCTATCTTCTGATAAAACAAACATTATCAATATAAATTACATATTTTAACAACATGATCCTCTGTAGTCATTGGATACACACACACATCTCTATCACAATAACAAATACAAGGACCCCGAGCAGTGGTCTGGAACGGTCGCAAAACTGGGAAATGACAGACACACACACACACGCACGTACAATAACTGATCATCACAACAGGACTGAATGAGAGAATAGCAAGAGTAGAATCTCAAAAATTTATGGAAAATAATAAAAAGGAAAGACAAGATCAATTAAATGCAATAGTTTCTTGAAGGTTTAGGTAAGAAGTCTTTGTGATATCTCCGCTCAGGATCCTAAGTGTAAACAATATCTATTTGGTCATTAAGTTTATTCCAATATGATAATAGAGAGAATATGCCTGCATTCTACAGTACCCAGTTCCCCAACATACTGCCTATTTGTTTAATATTTAACAATGTTAACACTTGACTAGCACACAGGCCAAGAAGAAAAAGATTCATAATTCAGATCCTTGCTATTCCTCATACTGAATTATGATAGTGATCACGCAATAACGAAGTCAATTACTTTTCGTTAAAAAAAATTCATTATCAATGAGTCTTACATATCTTTTAAAGTATATCTATAGCTTTCTAACACAAGGTACAAACATCCTACTAACTGTATATAAAAATGTGCCCACTGGAAAGGATAAAAAGGCTCATCATTACCTTCAAGCTTTTTCAACAGGCAACTATTAAACACACAATATAAACATTACTCTGATAAAGCCAGCCTATATGTGTGACATGATGAATCTCTTGAGCCTTTCATATTATTTGTAATTAACTTGTTATTCCCTGGATTATTTAAAGAGTAAAAATTCTTATCCTGCCACATACTTGGAATGCTAAATTTTCTCCAAGATTTGAATTTTACAAGCCCTTAGGTTCCAATGCCTCCAGAATAGTCATACAATGCTGCAGGAACATTTTTTTTTTTTATCCTAGGGGACTTGGACTAAGAGTGCAAGAGTAATGTTTGGCCAAATAAATGTGACGAATGCAGTAATTTTGAGCCTCTGCTAAAATTTTCAAAGAAGGCTCATTTTCCTTAAACTACTGTAGATAAAAATGAGACTTATTGAAGTATTACCATCTGCTCAGAATCACTGATCACATCACACTTCCATTAATCAGAAATTGCGTAGAGCAACACACTCTAGTTTTATCTAATCTCTACACTAAAAAATGGGGAACTGACATTAAAAGGAGGAGTATAACATTTGAGAAACACAAAAATGCATAGTATGATCAGTAAGTTGACCTACTGGGCTTTGCACGAAGCAGCTCAAGACAACGTCAATGCATAACGTCACACTTTCATGGTGGTGTCTCAACAGACTTCCATCAAATACTAACACATTGAAAGTTCCCTATTTGGGATAATAGATTTCTAAGAAAAAGTTTTTATATCAATTGCCCATTTTAGAATAATCCTCATTTCATCAAAACAACTACAATGCACATGAGCAGAGCCATCAACACCAATAACCCTAATAGTGCACTTCTCTGGAATGTCTTTGCCTAGTGTGCTAATCATTCAGATTTGTTCCTAATTACTTTTGTGTTGCAAGTTTGGCAGTGAATTCAAAGTTTATCCTATAACATTATAATCCACTACTGGTGTGCATTTCAACAGTGAAGGTCCTACTTACAATTCTCATGTGATATAATGACCAAAGAAATTATGGATATAGGTATACAAGAAGTTATTACACTGTAATCAAACTGTTCTGCTCTAAAAATCCTAAGAGATGAAATACAATATCAAATATAAGTATTTCAATGGACATTACATCAAGGTAAAAGTAAATCTAGGATATGCATTGATTGATGAACATTAATGTATTATTGCTCTAACTATTCAGATCAGCTACAAATGGAAAAAACTTTTTTTGCATTTTTAAGACATTGGTTACAACTAGTTAAGTTTTGAGAAACCAAGATCTATAAACTGTACTCAATTTAAGTGCCTCAGTAACAGTTTCAGAAAATTCAACCAACTTTGTGGGCAGTTTTTAAAGTCTTACCACATTTAAAATTATATTATTAGAAGTGTTCCTCTCATATTTATGGGGAACAAATATGCAACATACAATAATATTTCCACAAATGAAGATATTAATTTCCAGCAAAAATTCAATATGAATTTAATACTATTGCATATCCAGCTGTTGTATCCAAGTCCTACACTTGACCTTATTTAAAGTTATACAAAATGCTTAGTCTGCAAGGCCACATCTAGAAGGAAAACTTGCTTTGTAATTCACAGGCAACAGGTACTCTTCACTTTCATTAGTTAAATTTACTTTAGTTTCAAAATGAAATATTAATCACATGAATGTATATAAGAATCTTATAATTCAAACGCATTAAAAAAAAAAAAACAGTTATTGCCTATGACAAACAACATTTTCCTCTACGTTTACCGCGAACCTTACATACACCCCCAGACAAGCCAGCTCTATTAACTGGTCAGCTGCTAATAATGTAACTGAGGATAAAACTATGATCTGATTCCCCAAAACAAATTTGTAATATGGGAGACCTTTCACCATGTAAATAATTTATTTTTTATGAACCATAACTCGCTTCACTCTATGGTAAATTAGTTTATCAACTCTAGTGTAATATTATCTTTAATTTATTGATATCACTATTTAAAACACAGTATTATATTCTGATGGGCAATTCATGCATCTGATTTCAAGAATTTTCATATACATTTACAGTATTTCAATTTTGAATTAAGTTGAGTGTGTTCAGTCATCACTGATAAATTGAAAATGAACTAGTCTACAAAGGGTTCATTTTAAAAAGTTTAGAATCTGGTCTCCCAGTAATACAACAAACTACCACAGACAATAAGTTGTTGAAACATATCAAGCTTTGGTTTCATAAAAAGCACATGGGCAGTCACTATTTTCAACATTTTCAACTTACAAGTAACTAGCATAGCCCGCTCTGAAAAAATTATATCATATACAAACAATAAGTACATTTTATACAATTGCACTCTACAGTGTAAAAACAATAGTAAAATGAGGATGATGGTGCATCATTCTCAGTTTCAACATTTACTACAAATCCTAGAATGTTTAAAGCTGTTAAAAGTAACTTCTACCTTCCATATTGTTTACTCTGAATGCCACTCACATATGTGACCAGCAACACCTGTCTTCATGAGGGTATACTGCAAGTCCCAACCTTTATTACAAGCTACACTCAAGCACCCATGTACACTTGAAAAAAGGCAATTACTCCCAATTTACAAGTTCTGAAGTAAAACATGTTTGGCCATGTTAATAATAAGGTACATACCCACACAATCTGTGAGCAATATACTTTATAACAGTTGTATTATTTGTCAAATACTTTATTGGTTTTGGCATTACATATCCGATTCTAAAGAGTTTTGACACACATTTTACCAACATTAACCAATGATAATTCAAGCACATTTAGGAATTTTAAGGATATCTCCATTATTTGTGAAATATTTCACATATTTGCATTTCTGCCTATGGCTTGCAAAAAATTAAGGAGATTAAAACAATTTGGGACATACAGTATCAATGAAATACATATTCTATTTGCCTTGATGACCATATATGCTGGAGACATCTGGGATTCTCCCAGCATCAGACCTCCGTAAAGACCTCTCATTTCACCCAGGTGTGAGTCCTTCTAAACAAATGTCTTATCTTTACACATCTGTTTAGGCATAAATACGAGTTGTTTCTATGAGTAATAGGGCACTTTCAATGACAAATAGGGAAATACTTTCAACAAGTAGTTGAAACACTACTAAACTTTTATTAACCAAAATGAACAAAGAAATTTATAGCTTTGTATACAGTACCATTCATCAGAACCATGCACACTTCATAATAGTTTTTATATACTGTATTTGCATAGTGCATACATGTCAGACTTAAACCTTAAAATTAAACAAGCTGACTTAATCCAATCACAATCACAAAAGAAACCTTTGATTTGGCAAATGCCAAAGATAAAAGATACTCTATACAAGGTGACCTTTTTCTACAATGAATATATAGGTTGTCAAGAATTACTGCATTAAAAATAAGAATCGACAGCGTGTTTTATGCAGTGCTACGGTGTCTGGTGCTGAGAGATGATGGGTCTAACCATCGAGGCTGCTACACTATTTACAGCTCACAAAACTGGAACATCAGGAAGGAGAGAGAGAGACACATACGTGCCTTTCATTGAAGACCTACCATGTACCTGCAGGAACACAAACATGTGTACAAAATAATGACAGCAATGATGCCATGCTTACCATTATAAAAAAACAAATTGCTTGCTTGCTTCAATAAAAATTTATTAAAAAGCAAATTATCTCTTAATTTTTAAATGGACAAATATGAGGTAGTGGCATTTTTGTGGACCTACCTGGAATGTTCTCTACAAATTAAAGTTGTACTTAAAAATTTAGACCAAATTTGTGGGTCACTTGTAACAGTTTTGATTTTAAAATAATTATTATTAATATTTTTTAAAAATATTAATTTCATATTTACAGAGAACAATTATGCAATGTACGATAACACTAGCACAAATATATTAATTTTCATAAAAATATTATGAATTTAATACTGTAGTAAGCTGATTAATCCATATTTTGCACAAACTAACTAGTTTAATTATTCACATGGCCAATACAAGAATATACATAACTGACTTTGCAAATGATGATGATAATATAATAAATTTAAGAGCTAAACCTGTGAATCAATAAACACCTGCACAAGGGCCTTCTCACCAGAGAGCAAGTGCAATATACAGTGGACCCCCGGTTAACGATATTTTTTCATTCTAGAAGTATGTTCAGGTGCCAGTGCTGTATAGCCCTTGTGGCTTAGCGCTTCTTTTTGATTATAATAATAATCAGGTGCCAGTACTGACCGAATTTGTTCCCATAAGGAATATTGTGAAGTAGATTAGTCCATTTCAGACCCCCAAACATACACGTACAAACGCACTTACATAAATACACTTGCATAACTGGTCGCATTTGGAGGTGATCGTTAAGCGGGGGTCCACTGTATAAGGCATCAGGGTTTGAAATCAGGAATGACAACAAAACCACTATTAACAAAGAATTGGAGCTGGTATTATTGTACTATGTCAAAGTTTCTCCAACTGACCTACCATATCAGCTGAACAGGCCATGTGATGCTCAGTAATACCGAATCCAAACCTTCAATAAGTGTTAATGACAGCATACCACTAGTGTAAACTATTGAGAAAATCAAGAATAACTTGTTTCTAAATGTGTAGCTACACCATCTAAAGAGTAAAGTGTACCAGACAGTGGCATCATAATAGAGAATACCAGTCTTTAACCTTGAAGTTAACTAATTAACCCTTTCACTGTCTTCCATTGTAGCTCTGCCTTATTGATGCCAGCATTACAAAGGTCTAGGTTTAAATCTGCAAGTGGTAAATTTTGGCCTATGACATGAGAAAATGGGTCTGTGCAGTGGATGTAGACAGTATAAAAATCCTGCCCAACACAGTGCAAGGTGGAAAAAGTAAACCTCTGACCTTGAGCTTGGTTTAAAACAGCAAATTTGAGGCATTTTCTAAGAAAGGCTGTTTCTTAGTGTCAGTGATAGAATGGAAGTCATACTAGTGAAAGATAATTTTTGGTCAGTTTTAGATAATTTTGTGTTGTTACTAGGTCTGCTTCAATTATTAGGTTGGCCTAAACCCTTCCCAATCATTCTTAAACTTTATTATCCAAGAAATAAGATAAAACTTCAATTTTTTGTGTGACGATGGATTCAAAATGGAGAGCAAATGTTATATAAGAGGCCTGGGGACATGATTAACCCTTTCAGGGTTTTGGCCGTACTAGTACGGTTTACGCGCCAGTGTCCATGACGTACTAGTACGCATAAATTCTAGCGCCTTCAAATCTAGTGAGAGAAAGCTGGTAGGCCTACATGTGAAAGAATGGGTCTACGTGGTCAGTGTGCGCAGTATAAAAAAAAATCCTGCAGCACACAGTGCGTAATGAGAAAAAAAAACTGACCGTGTTTTTGGATTAAAACAGCGACTTTGCGCTATATTTTCATATGGTATTAATTGTTGTATTCTAGTTTTCCTGGTCTCATTGTATAGAATAGAAGACATATTACAGAAATTGAGATGATTTTGACTGGTTTTACAATGAAAAGTACCTTGAAATTGAGCTCAAAGTAGCAGAAATGTTCGATTTTTACCAAAGGTCAAAAGTAAACAAATCATGCTAAGCATCCAATACACGTCAACTGGTGAGTCTGATATTCTTTCACAAGTGCACCGATATTATTTATACCATTTCTACACTAATGCAGTAGTCTGCATAGCAGTAAATCTTATTTTTTTTTGTGAGAATAAAAATTCAAAGTGGAAAGCAAAAGAAATGTAAGAGGGGCCTAGGGACGTGACTAATGAACAGAGGAAATGTTATTTTAGTGCCAGGAATGTCTTTCTTGTTTATTCTGGACCCTATTTGGAAATTAGCATCTTTTGAAATTTGTGTGAAATTGGCAAAATTGCTAAATTCTGACCACTGTATTGGATAGTTGAAATTGGTAAATTGGTGGTTTCTTGTACTCATTTGATAGAAAAAACAGAGTTCTAACAAAATAGTTATGATTTTTGTCGACTAGTACATTGGAATTGGGCGAATATAGGGCTCAATGTGGGCAAAATCGCCGATGCGTAAACATCGTCGAGACCGCTAACTTCGTGAGAGCATAATTCCGTAAGTTTCCCATCAAGTTTCATACTTTTAATGTCATTATGATCGGGAAAAGATTATCTTTTCATAAGAAAAAATATTTTTTTTTTTTTTTAAATTTGGGGGACCCTGAGAACAAGTCTCTGAGAGGGCCTGTGGACCCTGAAAGGGTTAATGAACAGAAGTAAGGTTGCTTTAGTGGCTGGAATACATAGTTTTTTCTTTGGACTCATGTTTTTAACTGGATATTTTTGCATAAAACTGGCTAAATTACTGACTTTATGCACTTTATAGGGTAGTATTGATAGGTGGATGGACAGTTTCTTGCACTCAGTAGAATGGAAGGCATACAAGGAAAATAGCTATGAATTAGGTCGAATTAGGCAATGGAATTGGCTTAAAAAATAGGACTCAAAATAGGTGAAATCACAGATACATAAATTGCGCTCAGACTGTGAACTTTCCATTTGCTTAACCCTTTCACTGTCTAGACCCCCGAAATTAATATTACTCTTAGTGTCCACTTTCCTTTTTTTTTTTTTTTCTTAAAAAAAGTTACAACAAAGAACAAAAAGGCACAACACCATAACTAAAACAACACATAAATAACCCGCACATAGGAGAGCTTATGACGACATTTCAGTCCGACTGGACCAAAAGTAATGACACAAAAAGTATAAAAATTATTGGAAAACTTATGGAATTATGCAGGCACAAAGTTAGTGGTCTTAGTGCAATTTATGAATCTGCAATTTCACTGATTTTGAGTCCTATTTTAAGCCATTCCATTACTTTATTCGAGCAAATTCTTAGCTATTTGGCTAGTATGCCTTCCATTCTAATGACTGAGAATGAGAAACCACCCATTCAATTATTTTAGCTATCCTATAAAGTGCACAGAAGTTATATTGCCAAATTTATTTTTTTTTAACCATGGGTCCTAAGAAAGTAAGTGCAAAGGACAGTGCTGAGAAGAGGATGATGTCCATTGAATTAAAGCATGAAATCATAGAAAAACGCAGGAAAATCGCATTTGTTTCAGTATATTTTCCTCATGAAACTAGTGATCTAGTCAGTGGCATTGCTAGGGTTGGTGTCACCCCCATGAAATCCAAGGGTGGGGGGATGGGGGGAGTAAACTCCAGTTACGTCACTACTGCACACCTAGTGACTAATGTTTAGCAATGAGAATGTTTAAGGGCCATAAACTGAACAGGAGAATACTTCTCAACTTTATTAATGATAAGATATATCATAGAAATATTGAGAAAACAAACTCAAATACCACTTTGAGTACAGGCAACAGATCCTACATTTATTCATCTTCAACAATGAAAAATACTTGAAAAATAAAGAAAAACATTGCAGTATCAAAGAAACACTAGTTCTGATTTGACCTTGAGTACAGGTAACATCTCAATGAATCTGATCTTATATTTCCTTGCCTTCAGTCCTGCAAAAATCATCTACCATCAAAATCAATGCTTTTCCCTATACATATAGGCCTATTTGTACTCTGTAATCATATAATAGGCTCCATAGAAACAAATAATTTTTCTCGTATGTTGCTGCAGCACTCTTTTGGGCATTAGTGTCACCATCTTTAGAGGCTCTATGGTGTCACCCGGGGCACCCCCCCCCCTTATGACGCCACTCGATCTAGTGCAGTTAGCCTCACAAACACACTGTTTTCACTTATTATAAGATCTCAGAAGGGCAAGAATGGGAAGGTATGGTTAGAGCGATAATTATTCATTCTAGAGTATTATTGTGACCACAAACGAGTGGTATTGATCAATAACATCACTGGACTAGCCAAGGACTCGAACCCATGCTGCTTTGGCCTGCCTCATGGTGGGCGAAAACACATGACGCCCTTATCCATTGAATAAGGGCATCATGTGTTTTTGCCCACCCTGAGGCAGGCCAAAGCAGCATGGGTTCAAGTCCTTGGCTAGTGCAGTGTTGTTATTGATTCTAGAGTATATATCATGTTCCTATGTTATTTATATTATTTATGTCATGTTAGATCAATTGTGATAGATAAATAAGCCATAGAGTTGATATTAGCATTATATTGACATATTTTCTGCCTCCTGAGAGCCAGGAATTCCGCTGGAACGGATTAATGGCATTTCAGTTAATTTCAATGAGGAAAATTGACTTGATATACGAGCAAATTGAGTTACGAGCTTGGTCACAGAACGAATTAAATTCATAAGTCAAGGTACCAGTGTATAAAAAATCCTGCAGTGCACAGTGCATAATGAGAAAAATAGGCGACTGTGCTTTTGGTGTAAAATGGTGACTTTGTGTCGTATTTCCATATGGTTTGTATGGTTGTATTCTCGGTTTTTGGCCTTATTTGATAGAATGGAAGATATATTACAGAAATAGGTATAATTTTCATTGGTATCATACTGGAAAATACCTTAAAATTGAGCTCAAATTAGCAGAAATGTTCAATTTTTGCCGATGTTCAAGAGTAAACAATTGACGTCACCATCCAATCCGTGTCTAATACAAAGTCACAAGTGGGTTGGCATTATTTATACAATTATTACAATAATGCAGTAGTCTGCATAACAGTAAATCTTCTATTTTTTGTGTGAATAAAACTTCAAAATGGAAAGCAAGCGTAATACAAGAGGGGCCTGGAGATGTGACTAATGAACAGAAAATATTATTTTAGTGCTAGGAATATCTGCATTGTTTATTCTGGACCCTATTTTGAAATTGGCATCTCTTGAAATTTGTGTGAAATTGGCCAAATTACTGATTTCTGACCACTTTATTGGGTAGTTGAAACAGCTAAATGGGTGGTTTCTTGTACTCAATTGACAGATAGAAGGAATACTAGTAAGATAGCTACGAGTTTGCTAGACTGGAACAATGGAATGGGCCAAAAATTGGGCGTAAAGTGGTGGAAATCCCCCATGTGTAAATATCGCCTTTGGGTTAGGTGTATTCTAACCTAACCACTCTGGAATCTGGCAACCTACAGGTCCCAATGATACTGGATTAGTGATGGCCAACCTGTACTAGGCACCAAAATCACTAACATACCCTATGTCCAGCTAAATCTCTGCAAAAATTCAATGTACATAAAAGGGCCCAAAATCTGGAAAACTACCGGAAATCTTCAGAGCTATCATCTGAGCCAGCATCTTCAAAACTACCATTAAAAACACCTTCTCTCCCTAACATATCCCAACATCAGCTAAATCTGTGAAAACTATATATTCATATTCTCAATGTTGCAAACATATGGAAAACTATTTTTTTTTTTTTTTTTTTTTTTTTTTCCAACAAGTCGGCCGTCTCCCACCGAGGCAGGGTGACCCAAAAAAGAAAGAAAATCCCCAAAAAGAAAATACTTTCATCATCATTCAACACTTTCACCACACTCGCACATTATCACTGTTTTTGCAGAGGTGCTCAGAATACAACAGTCTAGAAGCATACACATATAAAGATACACAACATATCCCTCCAAACTGCCAATATCCCAAACCCCTCCTTTAAAGTGCAGGCATTGTACTTCCCATTTCCAGGACTCAAGTCCGACTATATGAAAATAACCGGTTTCCCTGAATCCCTTCACTAAATATTACCCTGCTCACACTCCAACAGATCGTCAGGTCCCAAGTACCATTCGTCTCCATTCACTCCTATCTAACACGCTCACGCACGCTTGCTGGAAGTCCAAGCCCCTTGCCCACAAAACCTCCTTTACCCCCTCTCTCCAACCCTTTCAAGGACGACCCCTACCCCGCCTTCCTTCCCCTATAGATTTATATGCTTTCCATGTCATTCTACTTTGATCCATTCTCTCTAAATGACCAAACCACCTCAACAACCCCTCTTCTGCCCTCTGACTAATACTTTTATTAACTCCACACCTTCTCCTAATTTCCACACTCCGAATTTTCTGCATAATATTTACACCACACATTGCCCTTAAACAGGACATCTCCACTGCCTCCAACCGTCTCCTCGCTGCTGCATTTACCACCCAAGCTTCACACCCATATAAGAGTGTTGGTACTACTATACTTTCATACATTCCCTTCTTTGTCTCCATAGATAACGTTTTTTTGACTCCACATATACCTCAACGCACCACTCACCTTTTTTCCCTCATCAATTCTATGATTAACCTCATCCTTCATAAAGCCATCCGCCGACACGTCAACTCCCAAGTATCTGAAAACATTCACTTCTTCCATACTCCTCCTCCCCAATTTGATATCCAATTTTTCTTTATCTAAATCATTTGACACCCTCATCACCTTACTCTTTTCTATGTTCACTTTCAACTTTCTACCTTTACACACATTCCCAAACTCATCCACTAACCTTTGCAATTTTTCTTTAGAATCTCCCATAAGCACAGTATCATCAGCAAAAAGTAACTATGTCACTTCCCATTTTGAATTTGATTCCCCATAATTTAATCCCACCCCTCTCCCAAACACCCTAGCATTTACTTCCTTTACAACCCCATCTATAAATATATTAAACAACCATGGTGACATTACACATCCCTGTCTAAGACCTACTTTTACCGGGAAGTAGTCTCCCTCTCTTCTACACACCCTAACCTGAGCCTCACTATCCTCATAAAAACTCTTTACAGCATTTAATAACTTACCACCTATTCCATATACTTGCAACATCTGCCACATTGCTCCTCTATCCACTCTATCATATGCCTTTTCTAAATCCATAAATGCAATAAAAACTTCCCTATCTTTATCTAAATACTGTTCACATATATGCTTTAATGTAAACACCTGATCTACACATCCCCTACCCACTCTGAAACCTCCTTGCTCATCCGCAATCCTACATTCTGTCTTGCCTCTAATTCTTTCAATTATAACCCTACCGTACACTTTTCCTGGTATACTCAGTAAGCTTATTCCTCTATAATTTTTACAGTCTCTTTTGTCCCCTTTCCCTTTATATAAAGGGACTATGCATGCTCTCCGCCAATCCCTAGGTACCTTCCCCTCTTTCATACATTTATTAAACAAAAGTACCAACCACTCCAACATTATATCCCCCCCCTGCTTTTAACATTTCTGTCATGATCCCATCAGTTCCAGCTGCTTTACCCCCTTTCATTTTACGTAATGCCTCACGTACCTCCCCCACACTTACATTCTGCTCTTCTTCACTCCTAAAAGATGGTATACCTCCCTGATCCACCCTGACAACTAACTACATGATAACCACCTGGTGGTTCACAATTACACTCACTCACCCACTGACTATAAACCCAGAAATACAAATCTTAATCTTAAAATAATAAATCCTAACTAGTCATAAGTTTGCCTATGATACTCCAATATAGACACTTTGTATTGTGCCAAAACAAAAGCATTCACATTGCTAAACTCACAAATTATAATGTAGTCACTTAGCCTTAATACCATAATCTGTAAGGATTTAATGTTAAGAATTAATCTAAGTCTGCTCGAAATGCCTAGCCAGGCTACGTGTCCTAGTGGCCCCCTCTGTAATTAGTATTTTATAACATGTAAACCACACAATACCCAAAACCTTTAAGCCCCACATTGTAACCCTTATAGAGAATAAACTTGAATTTATCTGAACGAACTGACCTCATAACGTAGCTCTACCTGATGCACAATAACCCACACATGAGAGAGCAGTTTATGACAACGTTTTGGTCTGACTTGGACCATTTATAAAGTTACACTGTCACAGTGTGGGTTATTTGTATATTGTTCCAGTCACAGTATTGTGCATTTTTGTTCTCTATGTGATGGCCACTGAAATCATTAATTCTCCAAGTTTCCATCAAATTTTGCATTTTTGGTGTCATTACTTTCAGAAAAAGATTCTCTACCGTTTCAGATTTTTATTTCAAACATGACACTTTCAGCATTTTTAATTTCAGAGGTTGCGACAGTGAAAGGGCTAATACATTGTTAAAGTACAGTATTAATCTGAAAATGAAAATCAGAATAGAGGCAAAGAAAATGAATCCATGAGAATGAAGAGTTTTCATTATTAAATATTTTGGATATACAGTACAGTCATTATATAGCTAAAGCAATGAACTATTATGTAGAAGACAGCACTCTAGGTACAAAACAAATTTAACATCAAAGTATCAAGCAGCACTGATTCAAGCCTTACTTTTCAGGTCTATATATTACAACATAGCAAAGTAATCATTTATCATATAAAGAAAATACAAGAAAATAGCTCAGTACATCTTAAAGAAAGGAAGAATCTTTCATACAACAATAATACACACAATAAAAGGAAAACAGGACATTCCATTTATGCCTTACAGTGATATGGGAATCATGTTTTCCTGAAGTACAAGCTTGCTACTTGAATGAGATTTAACACTAATGAAAGTGCAAAAAAAGGACAGGAAACTTAAATAAAAAAAGGTCAAACTTACCTTGCATTTGGTGGATAATGTGACTTATGAATGTTCAGACAAGTGTGATATCTGACTTTACATCCTAATGGTGTTTAGACTTCAACTGTAACTAAGTTTTACAACTTGATAGGGTACATTTGTACCTTTGCAAAATGTTTGCATTGGGAATAATTCTTAAATGACAGTGATTAGTTACTCACGTCTTCTTTTGATTTAAAATGAAACAAACACGTACAGCCAATTACTACCACGATCACAAAACACTTCAGTTTATCATGCTGGCACCAGAAGAGTGTGTGTATACAGTACAGGAAACTCCTGTATATATTAAGTGTCAAAAATATTTAAAAATTCAAAATTGCTCTATTTAGTAAGGTCTAATATAAAATATTGCTAAATTTGCTCTCTTCCAGCACGAGCATGAGATATTACTCTCGACTTGCCATACTTACAAGGTGCCTGAAGGTTGAGTTACAAGCCGAAGTAGCTTCCTATGGTGGAAGCGAGCACCACGCATAGTATTGCCACACACAGCATGATCATGATCTTCTTCTGCAAGGGGTGCACAGGCACAGCACTCATTAAAAGTCATAAAGATGTACGTATAAAAAAACAAACCTCCATGAAGGTTAAAAAGTCACCACCCCTCTACAGAAGCCTTAAGCAGAATGTAGCTACTAATGGGCTACCTTTGACTGGGACAGTGGAACCCATGCACCTGCTGCAGCAACAGTGTTTGTCCTGGGATCACTAGATGTGGAGTAAAAAAGTAAGAAAGAAAGAAGAAAAAATTTATTAGGTGCCAAGCAGGATCATGCCCTGGTAGACTATCACTAATAATTAATATTAGGAGAAACTGACAGCTGTCATTAAAACTCAAGACAAACACTAACTTGGCCCATCAACCACTTCTGTATTTCTTTCTTAAATTTTGTATACCACACCAAACGCATTCCAAGTAGGTGGCCTTACAAAGATAAAGAGAGGAGAGGCCAGGAAAAGAACTAGAAATGTTAAGCATTGACCATCATGCTATCCACAGCAAGAATAAAGAAGAAACATAACTGCCAGTGAAGTGTAGCACACATTTCATTAGCAGTTCTATTAATATGGACTATGAAAGAATGAAGAATAAAAGTTAGTAATAAAAATAGTTTAAATGAAATTTTTGCAATAATTATTCACTAAACTTAAATTTCCAGAATTTTTAATTTGAATGCAAATTGATAGGTGGAAACATAATATAAGCCTGTGGGTATCCCAGAGGTTCCTTTGAAGATCTTCCAGGAATATGGGAGAGTAAAGATTTAAACACCACTTGACATGCTGGTTTTTATTAAAAAAAAAAATGAAAATATTCAATGTACAGGAAGCTTTTACTTTTAAAGTATTGTTTATACTATATTTTTGGCACAAAATTTGACAAGTATAAATGCTAAAGAAGGCTCCAGCACTAAAGTGGTGTTAGACTGATATCCCTAAATAAAAAAAAAAAAATTAGTAAGAAAAGGAACCTTCCACATGCTGGATGGCTGGAAACTGCAGGGCACTTTGCAAAACCACTCAGTTTTCATTCCCTGCAGAGAGAGGTTAAAGACATACTCACTGGAGGCTCATTACCAGTAGAGGGTAGTAGAGTTATTAATTTAGTTACAACGAAGCAGTAGAAGGTTAGATTAGACCCAGGTAGGAGGCGCCGCTGAGGCTCAGCACAAGACACAGAACCGACACACACACCATGATCATTATCTTCTTCTGCAGATGTGTGGGGACAAAACACATATTAGTACAGAAGAAGGCAAGGTCCCAGTGTCCCAGACTGGTCTCTTATTTGTATACACCTGTCTAAAAGTACAACGGTATCTGAACTAGTAGTCTCCTAGTGTCTTCTCACATATTTACCATCAGAGAATGAAAAGTTTTATAGAAACAGAATTATCTCAACTTTATATCAATAGACTATTGTATAGTCTTGTTGCATTAGATTTTTTTTTTGTGCAATTATCTTATGGATACGGATGTATGCCAACATTATTTAAGTACTGCACTACTGTTAATGCACTGTAAAAGAACTTAAATACAACAGCCACTTTACTTTAGTGCAATATATTTATGGTTGACACCTGAATTTTAAATATATTTAAATGTCTTACATAATGTAATCCTTTAGTAATGGCTAAAAAAATGTTATGGCAGTGAAGACTGAAGTATAATACTCATCATGCAGGGGGAAACGATGACTGTACATGCACCATAAATATTATGCACAGGAGACTTGAGTACTCCATAACCACTTTTGTCATTATAATGAGATCATATGGTATCTTATATAAAAAAAGTTGCACCTTTCGACAAACTGGTGGTTTATGCTAATAAAGTTGAGTTCTTCTCATGAGACTATATATCAGATCAAAGTGATTATTAATTATACATTCTGAAGGTAAATAATTAAGTGCACAATAGACTGGGATAAAAAATCTAAGGTTTCTCGAGTAGGGTTATGAAGAACACCAGTGATTATCTGGTTCACTTCATCAATTGTACAAATCAGAGAAAGAACCCAACCTTGAATAAAGCAAGTAGTCAACATATGCACTTCATTATGCTCCCTGAGGGGTAGGTGTGATGGCTTAATAACATAGGGTGGTCACTTACCTCTTGCTCGAGCCAGATTATTACACCAATTTTGAGTGATGCTCTCAGGAGGGTGGTTCTTGAGAGTATGTTTTCTATCTTTTATATACATGGACAGATTCTTCTATACCAGACAACATAATATTCCTATTATTATTCCTATATAACCTGTATGACATATTTTAGTAGTGTGCCATTTTGTATTGATTAAAGTACTGAATCATGTGGCAAAGGCTCATGGTTTAATTTTAACAATGTTTTATCATTCTCCTGCCTTGTATAGTCTCCTCAAGAGTGGTTATACAGTATATGGAATTACATTATCTGTTTTCAGATTTTTGTGAGAAATTAAAGGTGAAAATTCAGTTAATATGGTTTGCCAAACAAAATAAATACTGTAACTAAAGATCAAGTAACTTATCAGTTCATTCAAATCAAAGGAAATAAAATTTAATCTACGAGGATTTAACAAACACTAAAATAAAAAAATGGTATTTACTGAAGATAATTAGAGCATGCTTAAAGAGAAAACTGTTTATTCCAAGAATGCTCCACAAATAGCACTTAATTCTCCAGCAGTAGTGTACACTCAATCACTCTGTAAGTGGTCTTGTGTTGGTTGCTATCTTAGATTTAAAGCCTACTGATGCATGAAGGTCAAACATGGTGTATTTCAGCTGTTCACCACCAGTTAAGAATACTTTAATCACTAAAATAGCAAATTAAAGTAAACTTTCAATACACTGAGAGATATGTACACAGGTACATATCTCTCAGAGATATGTACCTGTTTATATATATATCCTGTCCTCAAAACTTATCTATACACTTTATTCTTTAGTACTGCTTCTACATCATGGCCACAGCATTATATACAATACTTTCAAGTGAAATATTTTTCAGAAAATCTGTAACACACAAGTAAACAGTAAGATTTAAAGGTGAAGATAAATTCTAGTATAAAGCAGCTTCCTCAGTCCACAATAATTTATCTCGACATATTGTGGACCATATCAAAATTAGCAAAACAAAACGATTTCCAGTCATGACCTCCAAAAGACAATATAATGTGAGAAATGCTGTACTTGTTAAGCACTGCCAATTAAGTCCTGCAACTACTGGAAAAAAAATCATCTGTACAGTATTACAATATTAACAAGCTTTATACAGTAATTCACATTTAAGTGACAACATTGGAAGTGAAACTACTCTAAAATAATCTCATTAATAGATAATCTACAAGACAACTGCATTATTTAAATAAAAATTTAGGCACTGAAAAAAAATATATTTAGATATGTAAAGTGTTAAGAAAGTAAGTAGCTTATTTTGTGGTGTTTGACAATAACTAACGTGAACATTTTGTCCCTGTAAGTATTTGCAGGAGTAATTCCTGTTCCATTTTCTTTCATCACCCACTTTGGGCAATACTTCTTCCTCATACATTATGAAGAAGAACTCAATATGATGAAAGCTGTCAGTGGCCCCTAAAACCCTGAAGAAGAAAGAGGGGGGAGGAGGAGGAGACAATGATTAAGGGTAAATTCGGACATGTTGAGTATAAGTACAAAAGCAGGTGGTGTAACAGATCAATTTCAAATAAAAAATTCATTATTTTCATTAAAAGTAGTACATACTTTCAAAGAGTATAGAAGACAGAGTAAGGCTGTCATGGCATTGAAAGAGAGGGTGAGAATGAATCTTGAGTCCTCTTTGATGAATGGGAAAATATCAAATGATACAGTATTGTTAGGAGAACCTTGAAATTCTCTCCAAGTAGCTCTGCCTTTCTTTTTGCTTTCCCAATCTCCCTATGTAATGACCATGTATATATAGGTCTTGGTGTGACTAATTTGCAGTCACAAGAGTACATTTTCCCACAGCTTACAAAAATGAAGGGAGGATAGCCAGGAGCTCAACTTGAAAAATACCTGAAGGATGTTTCCAGGGGTCAATGCCCCCAAGACCCAGATAACCCTTCCTGGTGGATCAAGGCCTAATCGACCAGTCTGTTACTGCTGACTGAACAGTCTTGCATACAAACCACAGCCTGGCTGGTCAGGAAGACAACATTTTCTATTCTGCACAGGAGGCCGTTAAAGAGTTGGGGGACTTCTGACACTCATCAAGGCCTCTCTTAGTGTACTCACTGATCCCCTGCTTTTCAACAGAGGTATTTTGCACTATCTGCCAAATCTTTTGTTCAGTGTTCATGTTTGAGACCATTCCCTCCAGGGGAGAGTGCAGATGACGGGCATTAAACATCTTTAACTAACACACCCAGAGAAGACACTGCCGAGAAGAGATACATAGTCCTCCCCACCAACTCCATTGCCAAACAAGTTTCCAACATCTTTTCCAAAACTTCATTCCAAGTATCTACCTCTACATCCACCATCATCAAGGACATTACCAGTAATAGACAGGAAAAGCTTCAATCCAATGTAGGCGTATACACAATCCCTTGTAATGACTGCAGCAAATTATACATCGGCGAAACATCCAGAGACCTCCAAACACGTATTTCAGAACACCAGTACGCAGGCAGATCTAAGGAATGACTGTGTTCAAAACCGAAATTCACACAACCATTTAATCAACTACAGAAATGCAAGACTTATCACCAGAGAAGACAACACTCAATACCGAAGAATCCTGGAATCGTCACTTATCTGTACATCTAACAACTTCAACCTGAACAACGGCTTCTATAACATAGCTGAACCCCTTGCCAAGAAACTTCTTCGTCATTATCCCACATAAGAACGTAAGAATCGAGGAACACTGCAGAAGGTCTACTCATATACTTATCCAATCTCTTGTCAAAGCTACCTAAGTTTTTAGACTATCACCCTACTCGGAAGATTGTCACCTGCAGCTTTCTCCACCTGACCCAGCATTCTCATCCTATAAATACT